CTATATAATATATTCCCATACTACTCTGTACTAAGCCCCACTTCATCAGAGCAAGAGGCATACACCGGCTCAATAGCCTCCCAGGGCCCACCAAGTCAACACTTCCGATGAGGCCTGGGCCCCAAACTTATTGGGCTTAGTGGGGAATAGGGGAATATGTTAGATAGGGATCATATAGGGATATATAGGGGTTATATTCCCTTATTCACTACTAAGAACCAGCAAGCAAAGGCTATGATTCGAAGCTTGTCAAAGCCCTGGAAAGGCTGTGCTGTTACGGGATGTCTCCAATGAAGGAACTTCATAATTTCCGTTTACAAAGTAGACAGCTCTCAACGAGAAGGATTAATGACTCCAGTAACCTAACACTTCAATGACTCGACTCATGCCCCCTTTTTCTGGGTCTTGCCCCACTCGCTGAAGTTCATGTACGAAGCAGGAGGAAGTTGAACAAATGAAGCAGAGCTCTGGACATAAAAAATGATGGCCCTGCTGCCGGGCCACTTTGAACCGCGCGTATCAACGCCGCGAGGACTGCCTGAACCCTAAATCCCTAAATGGTAGTTTTCATTTTCCTTTCCATATCCCAATTTACACAATGCTGTGGCGGGCACTAGCAGGCATAACGACCCAACTTCGTAGTAGTGAAAGAGCAATGCAAGCGGCCTGCATTTTGGAGTTTAAGGTGATGTTTTCGAGTGTGTTTGGCACTGGACTGTTTCATGAGAAGGTCTTCTGTTTTTTTGTGGGTTGCACATCTGGTCATGGTAGCTGATATGACTCATCGTTTAGGATCTTTTGCGGGCCTTGGCTTGGTGTGCCTGTCAGAATGGTTGGGGAGAAGCCTTCACATCAGACAGATTGGATAGATGAGTACTAAACCGAATCCAGCTCTCCAGCCAACTGCCCGTCCAGTCACGTGTGTTGCAACGAAAACTTTCGCATCTCAGCATACGCAATCCCAACACTGAACCTTCTAGATCCTGCCTGAACATGAGCTAAAGTCTAAACTCCTAGTACTGCATCCCCCTGACAACCCCTGTAGTCTCCTAAACAAGCCCTATATAGCCCCCTTTAAGGAGTGTAGACTATAGCTCACACGACCTCTTAAAGCCAACAGAGCCACCGTCTTAACTCTAAACCCTACACCCTACCATGCTGCCTGTCGCTGCGACTGCTCCTCTGCAGCATGAAGAGCCCGTCCGAGCCTTGGGGAATTTTGGAAGCTCAAACTTTCTGTCCGAATAAGGGTATTGGAGCATATTGGGTGTTGGGGGGGAGGCGGGGGGGTATATAGGCGTATCTGGGGGTGTATGGGGGATAAATAGGGGTATATGGGGGTACATAATTAGGGGTATATGGGTGTATATGGGTGTATTTAGGGGTATATGGGGGTGTATACCCCTAGGTAGGCTTCCATGTGTGCAACAGATCCCTAGCAGTTTGTGTTGTACCGGTAGCACTGTCATCATGAAACCTAAGCTAGTATTATAGCATGGTTCCAACCGTGGCTTCAATCGTTGGTGAAGTGCCTTCTGCGAGTACTTCCTGCTGCCGAGCGGCACGTCAAACTGGACATAGCTCAGGGCAATGACCTGATAGGTCAGGACCGCTTGTTGGGCTTTTGGGCAAGAGGTTTGTTAGGTTGGGGGGACTACAGCAAGCTGAAACGCTTTCAAAGGCTGTGGCTGCTAGTTGTTCTATGGCTATTCGTTGCGGCAGTAAGACTGGCAGGCATTAAGGCCTGAATGAAATGCTGTGAACAAGAACCATTTCCCCTCTCCAACCACCCTTGGCGCTAGCAAATTGAGACTTGTGCAACTGGATGGGCATCATGAGTTGTTAAGAAGTGCAACAAAACTAGTGCAAACTGGTCTTCCTCGCCATCAACTCTAGGCTGGCAAGCCTGAGATCATCTATGCAGGCTGGGAGAAGGGGAACTTTCGCTTGGCCTCATTTTAAGTGAAGTTCTCAGTCTAGCAATCTTAGGTCATCCTGCTGAGGCGTCCACAAGTCGGAAAGCACTCAAGCCAACCAGGTCATGCTCTTGTGTCCCTTGCAACTTCCCTAACATTTTGGGATGTAACGCTAGTGCTTTGAGTATAGCAACAGTTGTCCTAGCCCCATTCCCCATACCCAAAAAGCCCGCAAACCTTGCCTGGCAGTGGGCCACCTGCCTCGTCCGGAAGGAAGCCATTGGGATCTGCCAGGGGGACACGTCATGTGCTGTTCATATTTGTTACAGTATGTACAGTCTGTTACAATGGTATGATTCTATCACCCCTTTTTTGCACTGCTGTGATCTCGTTCTTTCGAAACATTGTTGTCATTACAGCACGCCTCAACTTAAGGCTACTGCTACTGCCCCAAGTAGACTAAACAAACCTTTCCCGAATCTGATTGAAGGATGTGTACAAACGGGTTGGAGTCGCACGTAGGTACAGTGAATCAGGTTTCGAGCATCATCGCTGTCATCGTACCTGTAACCACTCAACAGGATCTCTTATGTAGACCGGAACAGCACCACAAGTCAAACCATCCTTGGAGAGGCTGCTACGCAGACTAACCCTGACACCCCTTGACCTTCAAAGCACTGGACAATGGAGACGCCAGACCCGTGGCAAACTCCACAAGGAATCTCACAAAGCCAAGTGCCTCATTGAAATCCAGAGCGGGCTCGGCGCGTTGCATCAGCCAAGCAAAAACATCTGGGCTGGTGAGCTGCCTTGGGTGAGGGCACCACCAGCAAAAAAATCTAAGTGGTTCTGATTTAGCTAGATGTGCTATATTATCCCAGTTACCAAGTCATCCTTTTTCCACTTGATGTTCCAGTTGTTGGGGGGTAAGATCCCTATAATCTCTAGGCCTAATGTGTCCGCATGCGCTAGCAGTTCCTCTCCACTTTGACCCTCTAGGTAGCAGAAGGCTTTGCCGAGAAACTGAATTCTCTCCAAGACATGTTTCAGGAGAAGGCTAAGAACCGAGACGGGGCGGGATTTTGTGCGGTTTCATGGTTTTCTCGCTGCGGCTAAAACAGTAGTGCGAGCAGACCCGAACTTTAAGGAGAAACGCTTCACATGATGACGTTCATCATCATGGCAAGAGGTGCAGGATTGCTCGGATGCTTTGGCAATCCGATGCACGGGCAAAATCATCCTGCCCTCTATGGATGCTTTAGTAATCTGATGCACTGCTAACATCGATGCAATCATCCTGGCCAGCATGGGCGCTCTGGCAAGGATGGCACTGACAATGGATGCAATTATCACGGCCATGTCTGCCTCACGTCGCATAACCCGCCACTCGGTTTGAGCAGGCAACGCCTGCAGAGCATGAAAGTCCTCAGAACCCCAAAGCCAAAGGCCGTGCACGAAAGCAGTTAACGGAGGGCGCATGAGTGGGAGGTGGGTGGGCGTGCTTCCTTGTTCTGGTGTTTGCGGGTGTGGATTTCCAATCTGAGGCTGGAGAGACTTCGGTTGCACATTGCGTAAGCAGGTAGAGTTGGTCGGCCTTTGCTGGTACAGGTTACGTCCCTCATGGAATTCGAACGGCACCCTATCGCAGCCCAGCCTCACCGAACCAACACGAAGCCGAACAACAGGCAAGAAGCTGCAGCAGCGAACACAGCTGCAGAGGCCAAAGCGTCAGCCCCGGGGGTCGCGGTGCAACGAGAGCCTGGCACAGAGCCAACCACTGCTTCTGAGTGCGAGTAAGTTTGGAACTGCAAAAGCTGTTTTTTTAATGCAGAGACTTGGGGGATGGGTGAGTCCTGTCTGTAACTTGGCACTTTAGTAACCTAAGTGACGCCCGACCCATAGACATCCTAAGAAGACATGCCCAAACAAGCCCTTAATGAAAACTCCCTAGATCTCCTGTCAATTCTAGGACACGCGAACTGCGTTGGGCATGCCTCGCAACAACAGTCAACTAGACTTGGATGCTTCAGAAGATACCCATGTAGCTCACGAATGCCCGACTCCTGACAGTAGATCTGGACATATCTGGACTCTTCCTGTCCTTTCCCCCGCCTCTGCGATCACTGCAACCGCTAAGGCAACGTCTGCGCCACAAAGATCTAACAGCTCTTGCGCGGTGATTCTATCCTCAGATCTACACGCAGGCAATGTCTGTGGCTGTGGTGAGGAATGCTTTGCTCTGGCCATCACCGTTTCAAGTGGAGTTTTCTTTTAATGCAAGGTCCTCCATACAGAAGGTCAAAAAGCACCAATCAATGTCACAGAAAATCACTCTGAATTCCACATGTGAAGCGCTCACACTTCCCTATTTCAGGATCTTCAATCACACAAGTACATACGAAGACGGGGACGTTAGGTGTCGCGTCGTGGGAGCAATGTACAGCAGTAACGTCCGAAAAGGAATCTTGCAATTCCTGTATCTCCATGAAACGCTAGAGCCGTCAAGTGGGAGCAGCGTGTTCTCTTGCTGAACGAGTCTCATGGCCGACGCACCTGGCCAGGTTGCAAATAACTGTCATCTGAGAAGGCAACTACCAGAACTGCTGCTATCAGCCCTACATGAAATTGGTAAGGTCTTTCCGCAAGAAAGAAGCGCGCGACCTGGCACACCCCCATGTAAGTGACGGTCGAAACTCCTTACATCTGGCAATGGATGCCACATTGGGGATGTCGCTTTTAATGTTCCTAACGCTCTAACTACAAGATTTTGTATTCAACCTGCGATCGTGTGAATTTCGGGGTGTCGCTTCTTAATTGTTTTCCATCGCTTTGCGGGGCTTTTGCCTGAAAACTCCGAAGTGTCACTTTTCAATGTTCCCGTTGGCTCTTACAAGCTGTTCGCTTGCCATGTCTGCAACTGACATAACTCCTTACAAGCAAGTGTCGACTGTGGCTCATGTGATCAGCACAGGCAGGTTAGCCATTGGTTATGCCATGCAACTTCTAGGGCCTGAGCAGCAGCGCCAGCAGCGATCGCAAGGGTTGCGTACACTCCTCTCTGTCTTGGCGCGTGGATACTGGGGATCAAGGCAGGGAAGAACTGTTGATGATACGGCCCACGCTCAGAGAACCCTGGAAGCCAGGCCAGTCCTTTGGAGTCGTAAGCAGCCCCTTCCGCAGGAGGTCTGAAGAGGCCTTGCGGCAGAGCTTCGTCTTGAAAATTGAGTTGGTGAATGGAATCCACAGGATCTGCACATGGGTGAACCCAACTGGACATCCCCGGAAGCTACAATCACGCTGCTTTTTGTTGCTTTGGGACGGCGCCTTGGCAGCCATTTCCTCCCCGGTCTGGTCCAACCGCCTCGCAAAGAAAAGCGGGATTTACATTCGGCAAGTCGTCCTGCATGTGGGGATCTTGATGACTGCTGCAAAACACAAAACAACCAGGCGGAATTTACAGGCATGTGTTCGTCTCCACTATCAGCCCTCCGCCTCAGCGTCCGCTCGAGGACTGTCTGCTGCAGTCGTCGCTGGGCTGCCTCGTCCAAATTTTGGGCAGCAAGGCCCATGCAAATCCTCGGATTGTGCTGCATGTTTTTCGGGAGCTTGCAATGCGTGCAGAATTCATGCCGAGCGACTCGACGCCGATGACACTGTCCTGCTGCAAAGGGGCTTTGTTTATAGAAGCATGATGCTCCATTTGAATCCTTCAGCTGTCGATCTCATGAACCAGAATGTTTCCAGAAGTCTTCAGGCTTAGGCCAAGATTGCAAAACATTTCGAGACCTTTTTTAATGAGGAAGGCTGCAATTATACACCCCATAGTCTGCACACCAGCCCTTGATGATCCCAAAGCTCACCACTGCCCTTCTTCGCCTCGCGCTCGAGGAGGCTCCTCCCCTGCAGGGATGCGGCTGCCAAGGTGAAGACCGCGGCGCCCAGGAAATCTTCCTGAGCAGCTTTGGTAAAATCTGAAAGGATGTTGCTCACTCAGCGTGGAATGGTTTACGTTTATGATCCCCGTAGCTACTGAATTTAATGGTGCGCAACGCTTGCCAGACAGAAGCCCATGCCAGCAGCCCACGCGCAAACCCTCTTAACTCCCCAACCAGGAAGCTTCTCTAAGGACGCTGCCCCCTTGCCAGGCCAAGCAAGAAGCCAAAAATGTGTATAGAAACCACAGATGACCCTAGTCTAAACTGCTAGTATCCCCCCTGAATAACCCCTATAGTACTCCCCCTATACAACCCCTTGAAGGAGTTTAGATTATGGCTCCTTTGTCCCAGGATTCTTCAACACCCAAATTGAACCAAGACAGAACAACGCGGCGAGACTCGCTGCCGCTAGCATGCAGGTAGTCTTCTTGCCATACCTGTAGCACCTGCTTTTGGGGGATCCTTCAAGGGTTTAGACACGCGCATCGGACTTTTGGGGGGGTTAGGCTCTGTTTGTGAGGAGTAAGCTACTCTAAAGCATCCTCTATATTGAGATGCTTGTGATGTGATGAGGTGCTCTTCACATTGCGGCTAGCTGACCGGGCAGTGCTCAGCAATCAAAAACTGCATGGTAGTGTGCCCCAGAAGCTTGACACTGAGGAAGACACAACAAACTTGTCACACCGAAGTACACGGGGTAAGCTGCAAAGGGAAACGCCTCCTGAGCTGATTGGTTTTCGTGCGCTTCGCCGCAGCGCCGCAGCACGTCCCACAAGGCCTGCAGGGATCAAGTCAGAATTCACGGGAAACATGAACCCAGCCCATCAACAGTACAACACGGATCACAGAGACACGCGAAAGCAAGGCTCCTGCACATCGGCCATAAGCAGGGATGCCTGCCTCAGTGTGCAGACTCTTCAACACACTCCCATGCACTTCTAGGCAAGGTTGCTGTAACTGCTTGCTTCCACTGTGGAAGTCAGTTTGGTCTCTGCGACGTCGCATCTGTTTGCGGCCAGGGCACCGCCTCAGGCTTGAGACTTCCAACAGCCAGCCGACATCAGGCAAGGGCTAAACCACCAACTGGGGAAATTTGCAACTACACGTGGCTGAGAGCAGTGTGCTGAGAACGTCCAGCCTGTCGGCCAGGACCAGTTTCATGCTCTGCGCTTGCGTTTGTATTCTCTCATAGACTTCGGCCCTGACAGATGCAAGCCATTCTGAGGTCTCATTTGTGCTTCTGATTGGCTTTGAGAACACTTCCGATAATTGTGGGCAGACTCCGTGTTTTGTCTGGCAGTTGCGCACTTGCTATCACAAGATCAAGCACATGCTACGTGTCAGAGGCTGTCTGTTTCGTGCGTGAGCTTGAGAGCTTCAAATGCACGGCTGAAATCACATCAACTGATGCTAAATGCGTGGCCATGATAGGATAGTGACATGTTTCATCTGCTGGGCATGATGAAAATGGTTCGGGAACTCAGATGGAGGTTTTGCTCAGACTGCAAAACGTTGGGTGCTCTTGACATATCAAGGCTTGTGCTTGCAAAAGGCAACTTTCTCACCATGTTGTCTTCCAATTCAATATTGTAGCTCTCAACAAGAACCCTAGGCAACGCAAATGAGGGAGCGCAACAAAACGCAACATTCAGGGAGGTGGCGGTTTCTAATACCAAAGGAGGGCAGCACTCGAAAGGCCGTGGCTTTCCGGCACAGACCGCAGAGGATGGTTCGAAGGCAGCTCCTCGCCCTCATGGCCCTGCAGGAAGTACGGTTGTGGCTAGTTGTGGCTGGCATGCAAGATGGTGAGGGGTTTGGGGCCATGGGTTTGGCGTTCGCAAAGGGGGGCTGGCTCCTGAACTCATGCACCACCTGTAGCCAGCATGATGTTGCAGATGCCCACACTGGTTGAGGGCCTGCTCAACTGCTGGATTACCCGCAGCTACAGAGAGCATCGCGGCAACGGTCGCAAGCTTCAAAGGCGCGTCGGCACCAGCAGTAGCAGCCTCGTAGACGTCCAGCCCAGCCCGGAAACGGCCCTCCTGCGTCGCAAAGAAGTGCTCCAAGACCAACAAGCTGCAAAGGGCAGGACCAGGCAAGCGCCCCATGTATAATTATCGACTACAGCCATTTTGTCGTTTTCTTCTGATTGCTCCTCTGATGTGATCCAGGTGCGTGTGTGTGCCTGAGGCTCCTTCCAACAGACTTAGACAAAGCACTCAACCGAACTCCTGCAGCATCTCTGTCAAGGCTTTCTGGTCAATGATGGCGCCTGCACGTGGTATTTGCATCCATCACCAATGGCAGGCCATCGGTAACCGTTACAACCCTCATCACGAAGCCTGGCAAACAACAAGCGGAACCACCACCACAAGCATACGGTTGGCTTGGCCAGCAACAATGCTCAAGAACAGTCCTATGTATGAATATGTTGTGACTCTGTTTTAACCTCTTTCGTCTCTCACGTCCATCTCAGATTTTCATCGCACGCTTTTGCACCGGAGACTTTCTGACATCTCCTCAGCTTGAGCAGCCAAGGCCTCTCGCACAGTTAATGAGGATGGAGTCTGGGCGAAGCAGCTTCAACATCCTGAAGCGGATGTGTTCTTGGCTGGGTATCAAGCTGTTGAGCTCCACAAAGGAGCCATGAGCCGTAGGAGTCACAGGAGCTGCCAGAAGCACCAAGTTTGTTTCCACAAGTTTGTTTCCACACTGGAATATAGCAATAGCGACAGCCACAAAAACGGCCGCCTGCGATTCACCATACCCTTGGAAGCCGCAGTCAGCGCACAAGCAATGACGATGATATCCTCACAAGCGAGTGCAGGCTTGCTCGCATGCCCGTCCCAGGTGCAGGAATTTCATCGGGGTGCTTGCTTTGCAGCAAACTATGACTGCTAGCAGCATACGAAGCATTGACAAGCGGGGTGGCACGTTGCTCTGCACAGCGTGAGCAAAACTGCCTGTAAAACAGATGCTATTACTCTCGCAAGTTGGCCCTGCATTCTTCGCGCAAGTGTTTCCCATCATGAACTGCGTTCCCAGGCTGCGACAGAATGTAGGAAGATCGTTGCCAAGGACTGTACGTATTCGCCGCCTGCAGTGGCAAGTGGCCAAAGGAAAAGCAGCTCTCCATGGATTAGTAGCCTGGGCAGTCCAGGTTAGACCCAAGCAGCACCTAAGCTTGTGACATTCTAGGCGCCATCATCTAAGCTTGCTACCAGGCCTATGGCAGAGAACCTGTCGTTTTTGACTGGGTCCTCGGAAGGCGAATTAGAAACATTCTGGGGGTGGCAAGGTGTAGAGACACTTCCAGTCTGCAGGCTTACAAGGAGTGCAGGAAAGTTCTGAAGACGGGTCGCTTTGACATGAACATGGATGACTCTTCCTATCTGTTTGAAGAAGCTCGCTCATGTCCTTGCTCAGCCTACGCCTGAGGTGCAGACATAGCCAATGACGTTGGAGACGCGGAAGGCCTTTTGCCGCACAGGCTTGTGGCTCCGATCATTCTAAGGCGCTATGACGTACTTTCTGCGGGTACATCCACCATTTGACAAGCCGGCACCAGCCTTGCCAATCTCAGCCACTCGCAGTCCCATCGCGCCGGTGCCCACAATCCTCCACTAGCGGCAAAACAACATGCCCATTTTCACAAGTTTGTCTCTTGCAGGCCGACCATGCTGTTGAAACATGCATAGGCTCAGCACTCGACATGCGCAAATCGAAGGAGTCTCAGTCTGAGGTCCGAGCCCCAAGCGTCGGCCGCACAACTCATTCCCTGGGGGCCAGGACCACTTCCCGGAGCGCACATGCCTGACGATCTGCTGAGACGAAACTGGACGCGGACACGCAATTTCATGCAATTTCTGGCCCCAAAGCGTATACATCAGCAGTGTGCGCGATACCCAGGCTCCCTCAATGATTGCCACGCACGACCTCAGGCCCTGGCTGGTGGGCCATGGGGATGTGGCGCAACAAGGAGAAGATCAGTCCGAAGCACAGCTCGGCAGCCTGGAAATCTGCGGTTCGAGGCAAGGCATCGGTTTTTTGGTCAAGCAGCGCACTGCAAACAAGCTCAGCATGTCGTCCGAAGGCAGACAGGATTCTTGTAGGATTATGAAGATGGGTGTTTGCCACCAGTGCAGGCAATTCTTGCAGAATGTCCTACAAGTCCAAGTCAAATGCTGGCAGGCTGAGAGTCGCAATGTGCACAAAACATGAAAAGTTTCGAACGAGTTTGAAGTCGAGATTCTCCATCCGTCGAGTAGCCAGGTACGTTGGCCACGTTGACCTCGGTGTTGAGGCAGCTCCAAGGGCTCACGTCGAGAGTTCACCGCCTCGTTTGGGGCCCCAGCCCTTCTCCATGACTGCAAACACTCCGAAGCTTAGACGTACCATTCTTACCGTGTAGATGCACCAATTCGCGCGATACTGTAGCGTTCTCACGTGCGCAGCAGTACTTCCACGCACATGACGAGCTAGGACACTTGCCATGTCATGCCATGTCACAGTTTAGTTCAAAGTCTGCTTCGCGTAGATCGCATGTTGGTCAGAGCTCCGCACGCCACGCTGCCGGCAGGCCTCGAGGTCCACATGGTCGTAGCCTGCAGTGCAGCTGTAGGTGAGGGGCTTGGGGAATACGGGGGCGGCCCTCGGCACAAGAAATATGTGCTTCCAAACTGTGTTGAAAAGTGTTGTCCGGCTCCTCTGCGGTCTGAGGGCAACTTTGAGACTCTGTTTAGCAGGCTGGCTCTCGGAATCTCCAAAACTAGGCAAAGCTACGCAGGAAGAGTGGACTTACTGTGAGATTTCTTTCTAGAAGCTGAGTGACTGTTAGCTGCAGAGTGTGCCAGGCACCCTCAATTAAATCTTCTGCATGTAGCCTAGGATCATGTCTCTCGATCCAAGCATATCCAGACTGAGGCTTACAACATTCACCAAGGTTCCGTCTTTGGAACGACGGCCACACACTGACACTAGTACCAACCCTTGCCAGGCCTGTAAAAGCAACTGCCACAAGCCGCAGCTTCGGCAGCGTTGCCAGCATGGAGGCATCCACCCGCCTCGCCAGGGTTAGTAGGGCTGCTGATGCTGAAGTTGCAGCCCGGATGGGTGTTTGGGAATTCAAGCATGCCATATAAAAGTTACACGGCTACAGTGGCGGCTGAAGATGGCTATTTGGAGAACTCTTGGAAACAAAAGCCAAAGATGCGTCGCATCAAAGCATCCCGCTCTTGAAAGGGCGGCAGTGTAAAGAAAAATGAAGCACCCTCCACAGGCAATAAGCAACTGAGTTAGGTTGTTAAGTACGAGTTAGGTCAACTTTTAGAGATTCATGCAAACAAGTCAGAAGATTTTGCACTATGACTTCTGAATCTGCCAGATCAAAACTGTCCGTGGCATGGCCTGGTCACAAAATCACGGACATTGCTCGCGATTAGGAAGCCGATTCGCCTGACTAAACTAAATACCTCTCTATCCTCTCTGACGCACGGACGGCCTCTTCACCGTAACAAGCACCGAGGCATTTTCGCAGTCATGCCAGGCGTGGTCCTCGTTAGCCCACACCACCTGCATGCATGCCCTCATCACACCAAAACAGAACTTCCACGGCCATCAGGGTTGGCAATCTCCTCTTCATGTCTGTGTCAGGCTACTTTGAAATCTGCCGTGGCTGGGTCATCATGCGTATTACCGCTGTTGACGCAAGAAAGCCAGCAGCTACAAGGAGCGCCACAAATTCAAGATCAGGAACTCCTTGCAGGCTCTATCCTTCACTTCCTACGGACATCATCCGAAAATTTGGTCGATTTAGAACCTCCCTAGCTGGCCTTGAGGTCATGTTGCGCGAAGATGTCCACTACCGCAGCGCGCGGCCTCAAGTGACAACCCTCCTCAACTTACTTCCGTCTAGTAAGGTCAGACCGTGTCATTGGGAACGTTATTGGGATCCATTCCTTCATTCCTTGCTAGTCACTGGCCAGAGGCAAGCTAGGGTCCAAGTACCCGCATCACGTGGCTTTGGGCCCCAACTACCAGAAAAACGCATGGCTTCGAGGACCCAGAACTTAATATTTGCAAAGGTACTTGGACCATGCCGGAGAGAGACGGGATTTTGGCTTTTCAGATGTCTCCTTCTCTCAAGCTCGGCAGGAAGACATGCCAGCTTTCGAAGCCGCCGCCTGCTTGTACACTAGTCCCAAATTCAGCTTGCAGCCCGCAAGCTGGGCTCCCCGACAATGCATCTTCTGCAGGATTCTCCAGCATTGCAATCACTGCTGGCTCTGTTGACTCCTGCCCGAGGAAAGCTGAAGAAAGGGTGCCAGCTAGTGGAAATACGTGCTGTAAGACTAAGATCTGGAGCAATGTGACCAGCTTCTGGAGGCACCTCCTTGATTAGATGTACGAAAAGGAGCTTGTGACCCTTGCTACATTGCTATCATTCAAATGCAGACAGGACAGCTTTTGAACAGGTCGCCCCTGAACGGCCATGATCTCCCAGTAACTAGCATCCGGAGTTCTTTCAGGATGTTGTCCAGGAGCTCTCAGTCAAACAGCCAAAACACTCCTGAACACTCGCACTCAAAACATGACAAATATGACAAATCCCCGACCCCAGCTCTCCTCCTGTGAAGGCTTTGAAGTAGATCCTGGCCACACGCAGTCATTGGCAGTTGATTGCAAAAATGACGGGCCTTCCAGGCATGAGGATCGTGATTTTGATGCTTCAAAGGCTTGCATGAGGGCAGCGGTGCGGAGACTTCCGCGAAATTTGAGCGCGCCACCATTACGTAGGTTCCAGCTGACGGCAATCCTTGTTTACCTGAATCTTGCAACGCAATACAATCCATCATTCTGCACCTGCTAGGGGCCGGAAGTGGAATTCAGAGGGGACAGTGACTTGCTGGCATGGATGTGATCTGACCGCGTATACAATACGAACTGGTTCTGAAGGAGTGGGAACTTTCAATTCAGGGATGTCTACCGTATCAGGATTATCTGCGCACTTCCTCCTAGCTTGAATCAGTCCTACGCCTCGTGCAACACTCCATCCCCGAAACCTTGAGTATCTTCTTGATATCTCTAGGCACGAGACATCCAGTCCTGAGCTGCCGCCTCCAGACTCTGGCAGCCTTGAAAGACTTCAGGTCTTCCAGCATCTCCCTAATCAATCCATCAGTGCTTAGCCTGTGGTAAGCTGGCTGAAGCTGACGAAGTCTGGTACTGCAGCACATGGGTTTCAGAACCTAACCCAAGGCCTGGGCGGTGCTGGAGCTGATGCAGCCTCAACAAGGAATCGAGCATTCACATTTGGCAGGGCAACTTTGCCCGCACTTCTGCAGAACCTTGATTTTCACCCAGCACCCTTGATCAACGGCAAAGCTCCGCGTCCTAGCCCTACTTCTTCTCTACCCCGGCCTTCTCGCTATTGGTGCTCTCGGCAACTGCAGGCACGGCCGGAGGCGCCTGGAATTCATGCTCAGCGCAGCTGAACCACGTCCGAATTAAACGGAGCGGCATGCAGCAGCGGATCCATTTTCTTCATATCTTTATGGAGCAGAAGCGTTGCCCCTGTCAACTGCAGAAAATTCCAGAGGCCCCCCTCTGTCAAAGAGATCCAGCTAATCCGTGCCGCCCACACTTCTTCATTGCTGCTTCAGTCCCGTGAGCGTTAGTGTGAGGCGCTGGCGACCCTCCAGCTGTGGGCGATCATGCCACGGCATAGCAGACGGCTCTGCGTGCTTCTTGTGTGCTGAGCTTCCGGGCGTTGGAAACAGCTAGCACCGAGGGAAGCCGTCTATAGACCAGCTGGAACCTTCTTGAACGCCGGCCGCCTTGCTCTGGAAGGCAGTGAGCTTTGCGTTGGTGGAGTTCCAGAAATCAAGCCCAAGTTGGTGGTCAAATGCACAACCCACCGCTATACGTCGAAGCATGGATGGTCTTGATCATCAGCCTGCTCAACATTGAACTTCATGTCATTGTGAGGAATATCTCTGCCAGTATGGCATGTGGACTCCAGGAGTACCTCAGCAACTTTCTCCGACACATTCCCAAGGAAAAGGGAGCGAAAACAGCAATCCGCTGAGCAAGTATACGAAAACCATACGAGCTACAGTCAATACTTCCAGAACATAAATGCACATGGGTTTCTTCTTGGAGACTATATTAGGGACCATACTAAACTACAGGAGGGACCCCTTTCTCGTCCTATGTCCACTGTTAAGGGTTCCTTAATAAGCCCAATACTAGCAGTAGCTCAATTACAGGTACGACGTGTAACTTGCACTTTGCTTGTTCTTGTAAGTAAGTATCTCACAAAGACGTGAAGCTTTGCCCGTGGGGCCCGTGGAGTACCCAAAAAACGCTCTGACCAGCAGGAGGCGCCGGGGGTCAAGGATCCGCGCCAAGTGCAAAGTGGCTTCCTCTATCATATGAAGGACTGCGGAAACGAGGCACACAACAACTTGAGCATCCAAGGAATGCTGAGCTTCTGGCCCACAACGCTACAAATCTAGCAGCGCAAATATGGAATCCCAGCACCATTCATGGCACACAGTTAGTCTGGCACAGCGAGGCCTATATGCCCGAAGACATGCGCAGGACTTCTAGTCTTTTGAGCTTTCCGGATTTGAAACAGTCCTGCATCTTCAGCCAGGTACCCTCGTTGATTCTGGCCAGAATCACCTGCCGCGAATGAACAAGCAAGGCAACTAGAACTCACCTAGCGCTGGACTGTTCCTCGTGCGTTTGAAGGGGTTGCTATGCAGTCTCTTGTCTTGAGCTGAACTGGCCAAGGATCATCCAGTGAGCGTATCAAACGCGGATGCACCAGGACCGTGGGAAACCCGCGACCTTCCTTGGATGAACTTCTGCGCGCAGGCTTGTACCTAGCCCATGCCCACTGGGCCTTTGTTTCGTGAACCGGCAATCCTGCAAACCGTGGGCTGCATGCTGACCCAACACAACGGCTTCAGCACAAGAAAAGATGCATGGAAGCATTCATGCTGGCACATGAAAAGAATACCAGCGCCAATTTCTCCAATAGCCGTGATAAGCCCTGATGATGTCGCCATGACGTGTTTTTGAATGAGGCTCAATGGCACTGTTCCAGTCCAGCAGTCGGCGCAGCGGAGGGTGCCAAGAGAGTGACACCACCACCGGGACGCATCCTCAGCTGCGGGCTCTTACTTGGAGAGAGGGTCAACGGGACTCACTCAGTAGGTTAATGATGGGGACAACTCTGGTTTCCATGTGGGTTATAGAGGTTTAAAGTTATGCGTATACTTACTAAATCCCCCGACTCTCCAAGTGAGCTCTGCCCCAGGCCCTCTAAAGTCAAAACATCGGCCACCCCTGTAGATTCAACATGTATCCCCATAATGTTAGGGCTCTTACAAGGCTTTATGAGATGTATTTCATCCAAGGTGGGGGGGATATCTAACATCTAGGGGGCTTAATGTGTACAGAGCAATAATATTGCAATGATGACTCCTGTGAGTCTAAAATCTACCTTCAGATTGACATGACTCCAACAGAATCCTTCACTGCTTGATTGCGGGGCATCCCTCTCCCACATCTGCTCTCCAGAGTTGGCTGCACTTCAGTTTTTAGTTGCAACTTGCCATGCTGACAAAACTGTTTTCAGGCGATTAGCCTTTGGCAGCAAACTCATTGCCCTCAACTCATCTGCAGGTATGGATCCATGCTGAAGAACATCAAGGAATCGGATCGTCCACGGATAGTGGCCGTCCAGCACCAAGCCTTACATGTTTTCACAGGCTCGTTTTATTTTGTTTCGCAGCACATCTGCAAGATAATGGGTCTTTTCTTTTTCCAAAATCTCTCTCCGCTCTCTCAAGTTCGGGCATCCACCAGCGCGACTCCATGCACAAGACTTCAAGTTGGTACTTGCAGAAGCCAAACTGACAAGCTGCAATAGCGGCTTCTCTGGAGGATAGCCGAGTATGCTCCCCTCTCGTAAACCGTCGGTATCACCTGCGTTGGGTAGGTGTTTCAAGGCTTGAAAGCCACGAGTACAGCTTGCACAAAAACTTCACAACTGCTCACCTACCTTGAGCCCGGTGTGATCCTTGTCCTTCCAATAATCCATGAGATCCCGCCTGACGCGATACATGAATGATGAGGCGCTGCACTCATGAGAATGCACTGCATATGCATGGCAATGTTGAATGCGCAGCAAGCGAAGCTCCAGGCCGGGACTCTCTGCAGCTAACAGCAAAACCAAAACGTAAGGGGGATGAGATGACTGGACGTGTCCAGCCTTGAGCAGTGTGTAGGCGAGCCCACGAAAGAAGCCAGCAGCGTCCGGCCATGTGGGCCACGCCTTGGAAACGCATGGATCGCGCTAGGCTCTACCGCAGCCAGTGCCGCTGCTACTACTGCGATGTAATGCGGCACACTCTTCAGTACATGCCCCCTTCTCTGGAACAACTTCCGCCGAAACAATCTGGGGGGGTCGAGCATTGGAAACCTTTGACTATCTATTCTTCTTCTACAAAACAAAGACAAGTTCAGTCAAAGCTCCAGACATGCAACGGTTCGAAGTCTGGCAAAAAAATCCCAGAAACATGGAAACATGACATGAAAGAAAGTAGCCGCAATAAAGCCAAATCATATTGCCACCACCACCACCACCACC